GGGAAGAAGCGAAGAAAATTCTAAGAATCTACGAGTAAGACTTCTAAACGGTTACCGACACGCTCACTTTCAAGCGCTCACTCGCTCAAAAAAGAGCCTGCTTTACTTAGTAAAGTAAAGCAGGCTCTTTATTTTCTGAAAATATTAAGGGATTGAGTGGGTTACCGTGCTGCTATCTGAAGTGAGTATCTTAAGTGAGCAGAACGAAAGATGTTACAACTTTGCTTGGATGGAATTTTTTACATTTTTCAGGTGAAGCCACTCATTTGGGTCGAGGCTGTTGTCGAAAAGCACACACATTCTAGGGTCGAGTATATGGTCAAGGTATGGTGAAGGCTGTCTTAACGTTTTACAGATTTTCTGTTTATTTCCTTGGTTACAGGTGGAGGTTTCCTTTCTGCTAAAATCAGGTATACCACTAATAGTTGATGTAGTACTTATGTATGCTAACCTTTTTTATGTGATCGTTAACGATTTTGATCTTCAGAAGTTTTCTCGCCACGATTCATGTCTGCATGCGTTTGATCATGCTTTGCGTTACTTAAATGAAATTAGTGTAGCATGTATGGTTGCAATTCGTCAGCGATTTTTGTGATGCGTATAGAAATCTGTGGGGAATGACTTGCACGAATTGAGATTGATGGACCTCTGTTAGAAGAATGTTCTTTCATGAGACGATCGATTTATTGATATGAAAGAAAAAAAACTTTTTCTGCTCTGTAATGATGTCGTTATGTTCAGGCTAAATCGCAATTCAAACGACAGTCTATTGCTAATCATGTCGAGGTGATTATACCGGTGCCGTCTGACGCAGATTCACCGAAATTCAAAAGCAGCGTTGGCTCAGTCAAATACGTGCCAGAGCTGAACGCATTTGTTTGGACGATTCGCAGTTTTCCAGGTGGGTTTTTGTTAAATAACAAAGTTCCTGCTTTCATTTTCCTAAACGAATCAAGCAACAAGAATTTTCGATTTCGTGGTAATTACCTCTTTCTTAGAATCTGTGGCTATAACTGAGCGTCAAAAAAGTCTTTCGAACATTTGAATTACATATAAAGGACTCAGATAGGCTCACTTTCTTCGAAAATTGTCAGTCTTAATACTTCTAATATGCACCGTGCAGGAACAACGATTAGGTCTATACTCTTCTTGCGCTGCATTTCGAAGCCAACAGTAGCGCACATCCCCACGAGGTTCCATGGTTTCTTGAACAAATTCAGATCTTTTTTCCTAGGCAAAAATGAGATAAGCTTCCTTTCGTTTCTTACAACTCAGGGTAGCTTTTATGGTGAAACTCAATCTATTTGGTTGGCAACGTTCAGGTGGTCGCGAATATTTGATGCGTGCTCATTTCTCCTTGCCTTCAATTATGAGCGAAGAGGCAGAAGGGAAGCCTCCCATCCAAGTGAAATTCGAAATTCCTTACTATACCACAAGTGGCCTTCAGGTGCGTTTGTTTTCTCATTGTTAATGGGTTCTGCATTTTGTTGATGAAGATCTGTGCTCTTCCATAGTTTCTGCTTACGCAGTCACTTAAAGCAACAACCTCAGCTGAGATCCTGTCGAACAATCAACAATTTTGTGAGTAGGATAGAGTAACCAGCGAATATCACAGCTGTGCCGTGCCTGGAAATTTGCGACAATAGCGTTGGGGCCTCAAAAAGTGAGTTGATGCGCCTAATGTGTAACGGGCGGGATACCTTGCGCACACCCCATGCAGCGTGCATTATATGGATCGCGGCTAGTGCAAATATGCCCAGGTTAGTGGAGAATGGAACAAGCGAGCTCAGAAAACTCGTCCGGACACGCCCACCTCTCGTTTCAGGGAGGAAAGAGGGAGTACTTGTTCAAGAGCCTCATCAGCAGTTTACTTTGGTCACTATTGACTGCTTGTACCCCACCACTTCGATCTAGAGTAGTTGCTTCAAAGGAGACGAGTTCACAGTGACATTAACGTAACGGCAAATTGGGTTTCAACAAAGAACATAGGGGAACTAGGCTTCCAACAGAAGGATATGGGGTGCTGTTGGTCGGCTCTGTAGTTATTGTAGCAGAGAGCTAGAGCAGTGTGCTCGCGATGGGTGAATTGAGCTATTTTTGAGTTCAATCACCGCGTTAGTGGGCAAAAAGAGGAGCCTAGGAAAGTTCAGGCCGTTTCTCTTGATTTCGTTTTCACTCATGCACTCCTTTACACCCCTTTTCTCCCTTCGAATGTCTACTGTTTCCGCGTATCCATTGGACTGTTTGTGACCTCTAAATTTCAGTGGCTAAGTCAAAGTAATTTTACAGTCATATCAGGAAAGATTTACGAGCAGTGTCATATGTTCTAATTTAGAGTGCGCTTAACTGAAACATCTTGAAGAACCGAGTGGATATCAGGCTATGCCGTGGTTGTTAATGTTTTTTACCCACCAAGAACGGTATGACTATCATTGATGAATGACGCGTAAGATTTACAGCTGTGCCATAAGTTTGTAGGTCATTGTTGAGTAAGGATATGGTAACTGTTTCATAAAACAGGATCATGTACATTGAGACGGCTCTAAGATAGGGCAGTGGCTGGCATGACGGGGCCGTCAAGTGTACATTTCACTAGCACTGGCTTTATTGACTTGTTCGTATCAACTAGAGAAACGTTCATAGAATGGCCCCGTCCAGAATGCCTTTTGTGAGAAATGATCTGAAAGAAGCAGCTAATTCTATATCCCTGTAAGAGTATGTTTTATGAACTCCTTTTTTCGTGTTTTCGTCTAACTTGGTTGTTTTATTCAATGTGATGCCAACAAAATGTGATAGATTATTTTGGCGAATTCGCTTTATTGTAAGCAAAAAAAAACTTAGAATTCTATTTGTTAACATAGTCGAGTTTGTGATTAACTTATTATCCTTAAATTTTATTTGGGAATCCCAGAATTCATGGTGTTTTATAGTTTTCTGAGTGATAGCACTTGGTCCAGGACCTGTTGTTCAAATGTGATTTGTTCAAGTCGAATTGTGATCCATCCGTAATGCCTTAACAGAATGTGTAATTCATCTTATCTACTGTTGTATATTCGGCGCAAATTATAAGAAATTAAAGTATTTTTGGGATTCTTTTGTCATTTTCGCTTGTTCTTGTCCTATTATGTTTATTTTACATGGTGAAATCTCGTCGGGGAGGGCACTTCAACTGTACTCTCCAGTGAATCAAGACAGGGATAGAGAACTTATGTGATTAATTCAAAGTTCTTCTATAAGAAACCGGTGTACGTGGGAACTACTCAAGGTGTTTTCAATTCGGCCAGCTTGTCAAAGAAATGGTCCTGGCACTTAAGGTATGGCTTCCTTTTCCTAGGTGTTAGCGTGGAGAGCCCAGGGTGACGCACATGCCACAAATTTTCCAGGATGTGAGCAGGATGTACGTGATGTAGGGCATAAACCGGTTCTTATGAAAAATGCACTTGAAATGAGTCGTTTGCCTATCTTTCATTAATATAAACTCAGAATTTTGGTAGTGTCGGTGTTGTTGTGATGTAATGTCTGTATGTCATGCTGGAAGTAACAGGCGCTAAACAAAATCTGCTAGCTCGCTGGCCTAATACTGTTTTGGCAATGATGCTTTGTGATAATTATAAACAGTGGCTATACCAACCGTACTTAGCCGCCGCTTTCGTTCTCACATGTTCTACATATGGCGGTAGAAGAAGGGTAGTGAGAGTAAGGGGAGAGTGGAAGAGGTTTTTTTTTACAGTGGAAGGGGTCAAGATTACGCAGTGAAGGGAAGCCCCAGTGGCTGCCGGGGGACCAATCTGGTTATCTTATTATTAGGATTGAAGTCCAAAGGTGTGCTCTCTAGTAAGATAATTCGGTAAGATAATAGTGAGTGGCCCCCAAACTGGAGTTTCACCTATTATGACAAATCTTGAAGCTCTCATTCGTTGTCTTGTTTACTGTGAAGAAAAATTTGAGGAATTGCTACTATTGATACAATCACTATCAGTGATTAGTGTGGCTTGGAAAAGGATGATAGCAGCGTAATAAAACTAAGAAGTTTGTACGGTTTACGAATTAAACCTTGACGAGAAAATTTTTCTCCTCTTGTAGCGACGTGTAGGACAACATACAATCATCAAATTGCAAGCCCTCTCGTTCGAACATATGTCAGCGTACGGTCGACCCGTCGCTTGACCATAGTCGAACGAAGAGGGCTGCATTTGCTATTTTGGAAGTGGGGGGGGCGAGCATATTCGGATTGCGCAAGTTGACTACCTCTGGGAATGTGTCGGGAGTCGTAACACAGAGTTGTTGACGAGGTTCCGGCGAGTTTAGGATTTGGTAATATAAGATCAGTGGATTACCGCTCAGAATACATTTACATACCCCTCTTCCTCGGGAGCCGAGGGGGGATGTAAATTGGTATCAGTAGTGCGTTAGCAAAATTCTTGGAAAAGTGTGAAAGCGATGGTTAGACCCTGATCACAAGGATGGTAGTACTGTCACGACCTGAGTGTGCGTCAGCGACATCGCGACATTCGCAGTGTTTGCACCCTATCGCGTTTTCGCTCTCCTCGCAGCGCTGCTCCTCCGTCATACCATGGCTAACCCCACAAGATTTAGTTTACTTTTTATCGTGCTTTTTGCTTCTTCATTAGCGTTACTAGCACTTCTTGACTAATTTTTGAAAATAACTTATCAGTTCGATACCGACTCGCTTTTGTCATCACCATAGTTTTTTAAGGATAAAAAAAGTATTGGGAGGTGATCATGTCCTTATTGCTGTGCGCCACGCATTTCACTTCCATTAGAAATCGTGGTGATATTTTGGACATGATTCGGTCTGTGCAATGAAGCCGAAGTGCATGCCAGCGCTTTCATCGCGGACAAGCCTGGTAATAATGACCGACCTCCGAATTATAAAGGCCAGGATTCGATCACCAAACAATAACCTTGGTAAGTCAGGGCCAGCCATCCGTCTGGCCGTGTATTTGGGGTTCGAGGTGAGGTTACCTGGAAGGGTCGTAACTGTGGAGTTTGAGGGATTTGTGGATGTGGAAGATAGGTCGCTTTTGGTGTTTTTCTTGACGCATTTGGGGAATTAAAGGAATGCTTCCCGGAAAATTCTTGCATTCTTTCCCAACATGAATGTGTCAGTTGTGATCACTAGAGACAACATACAAAGTTTCACGCACAAGATTCAGTTTCCGAAGAGAAACAAACTCACGAAAATCCACTCTATGGACAGTCGAAGGTAATTGGCGCGGAGCCAAAGGCGGGGCATGGAAAGAAGTGCGCCTAGGTATCAGGCGACGCAATGAAAGAATCGGGTTAAAGCGTGCGATTTTGGAGAGTAGAGACAAATCGATCGAGGATGCAGTAGAAGTGTGAGATGTGAATGCAATAAGTCAAAAGGCCAAAAAGAGTTTCTAGTGACAGCACTCCAAGAACCAAGTGGAAGCATTCCCGTCGCCAGCATTTGTGACAGATGTCCGGCGGTACTTTGAACGCGTAGCAGCCCTTTCCGGTTTTTCGAATTTTTACCAAAACAAATGCAATTTTTTTGTTCTTTTCGTTCTTATCGTGAACGATGGGTCTCAAGCCAGTGATTTATGGGTGAGATAGAATTATGATTTTTTGAGGAGGGAAGCGTGGAAAAAAATAGGGTATCTGCTCGTCCACTTAAACATATTTAACTCTCGCCCCTCACTCCCCGCACACGCGACAGCATTTTCGAAGGGAAAATGGGACGGAGTTTGTGTTTCGATAGTCTCAAATCAACTGTTGTGTTCGTGAGCGGAGTGGGTGGGTATGGGGGTACTCAGGGCCTTCTCAAGGCTGGTGGTGATAGATGGTCGAATTAAGACCCCTCTACGAGAGGGTGGGGCTCGTTCGTTAAATGTTGGAAGAAAAAATTCTGGTCTGACGCCGGAGTTGACCCTAGCACTGGGTCTCCTCATCAGCTTTCTGGGCGATACCGCATGTTCACTTGTTCACTCGATCGGCCCTCTTTCGCACTTTTGCCGGAATGTAGCGGTCTTTTCAAAAGTCTTGGCGATGTTTGTACAATATTATGCAAAATTTTGCTAACAAGTGATATTCGCATGATAATTACTCGGATTATTTTTCCTGGAATACATGTATTCTACGGTGAACCGACAACTTGTGCTGCCGGAAACCGGTACTGATGCGCGTTCTCAACGTTCACAACACGGACCCCGTTGTGGCAGAGAGTGGAGTTGATAGCTAGCTTAAATTCATCGTTCACTGGTACTGGCGCTCATGCCATCGAGGGGGCATTCACCTAGGTGGGTCACTTAAAACTTGTGACTAAGCGTCAGAAGGGAGGGGATTCTATCGCATCGAAATAGTAATTAGTGCTTTTCCTGACGCTCTTCCCTCTCATGGGCCTAGTTCCTAGTGTCACCTACCATCAGCTCTGTTGTGATTTCC